AGGCATCCTTCTTTCATTTCAGCATTTGGGTGAAATTTGGTGGAGTTGCTAACCTCTTCAAAAAATCTATAGTAGGAGTCAGAATGATCCCAACCAGTTGGGGAAATGGTTAGTCAAAGACAGTATGAATTTTAAAAGCCCAAGATGAAGATAATAAGAGTTTCCTAGATTTAGAGAGAAAATGAGTGACTTGAACAGAGGTCAGCAACCCAGCATGCTTGCGCTAGGAATCACTCACCAAGAAACTGGATTGTTATGGAGTCAGAGAGGCCTGGATTCCAACTCCAACTCCTCCAACCTCCTCACTTAAAAGCTCTGAACCTCAGTTCCTCATTCATAAAATGAAGATGGTTGTGTAAACTTCATAGGGTTTTTGTGAAGGTTACATCAGATAATAAATACTAGGGCTTCTCCCCTCTACTAGATCATCCAACTTGGCTCTTCATGATTACGATGCCAGCATCTTTGCTTGGGCCACTGTCCTCTCCTGAGTATCCTCTTCATTTCTTTCAGTCATTCCTTTCCCTCCTTCAAAACATCTCTTCCAAGAGGTCTAACCTCATGCTAATTGTTTCTTAATTCCATATTCTTCTAGATCAAGTTCATCCTATCTATTAACCTATCTAGTTTAGAATGCATTATTCTGTACTCATTTATGAATGGCATTCATGGCTTCGTAACTGCCTTTTATTTTCATGATTTGAGGTTAGATAGTAAATACCTTGAGGACAACTATGTCTTCTACTTTTCTGTTTGCGTTTTCCATCCTTTTGTGTCTATTACACTAGCATGCACAAGGTAGATACTTCCCTAATAGAAAGAAGTAGGGCCTCTTAATCCCCACCACTGTCTTGGGTGCACATATATGAGCATCCTGATGTATTTCCCGTGGACGAGTAATAAGAATCAGAGAACTGCTACCGCCAGTGAACCGTCCAGAGGACGAAAATGAATTATACATAAGATTTGTATTTTACAGCTTGTATTTTTAACCCTCTTAACAACCCTACGAGGTAGGTGATATTAATTTTCACTTTATAGATGAGAGAACTAAAATTCAGAAAAGTCAAGTGACTTGCTCAAGGCCACTTGCTCAAGGCTCAAGATATCAAAGAGAGTTTTCAGACACAGATCTGCCAACTCCAGGCCTTAGTGCTCTTTCTACTGAGCCAGGGCTGCTGCGCACTGAATTAGTGGAGGATATTTGACTAACTGCATTCCTGAAACTTGTCTGGTTGTGACTTAGCACCTGTGGATTTAGAGCAGGATTGATCTGGTCAAGAAGCAGGATCAGGAGTAAAAAGACTAGTTGATTATAGAAGTGTGGACCTACTCTGTGTGTGTGTGTGTGTGTGTGTGTGTGTGTATCGCTATTAGTACAGTGTATTTGTACTATGGTGTTATATTCAAGACTGACTAAAAATGCCAACATGGTAATCTACTAAACAGATGTTTAAATTATCAGGTTCTAATGGTGTATTTTCCTCCCTCCCTTTCCTTCCAAACTATTTTCCCAACTTTTACTCTTGTAAGCAAAAAATCATATTATCCAAAGAAATAGATTTTACTTTGTTTTCTTCAAAATACAGATGGTTGAGAGGTAGAAGAGATCCAAATTTGAGAGAAGAAAAGTGATTTTACCAACAGGCCCAGGACTCAGATGTGAGGTGCCCTGATAAGGCTCTATTGCTGCTGCTCAGACCCCAGGCCATTGGTGCCTCCAGAATGGCACACCTCGGTTCTCCAATTTTACTGCAGGCAAAAGCCTGGCAGTGACCAGAAAAAGAGCCAGGCTTTGTCTGATAGGTCTAATGGATTGCCCCAACTCAGAAGCTACCCTACATCAACTGAACAGCTAAGAACATAGGCAGCTAAGAAATGACCAAGGTCCTTAGGCCCCAAATTGGATTAAAAGTGCTCCAAGGTCATTGCTGTAGAAATTATGATGCTTCCAATCTCTGTCATCCTCTGCCCCCTCCTCCACTGAAGGAGATTGGACTGAAGCCGACCTAAATTTGAGATTCAGATCTTGAATGGCCATTGTGTCCTGAGAAAAGATTATAGGTTTGGAGCAAAAACGCTCTGGGTTCAAGTCTTGACTGTGGGACCACAGGCAAATTACTTTACTTCTAGAGCTTTAGAGTTGTATACTGGTACAATGAGAATAATTGCTGTGCACAGAGGGTTATTCTGAAGATTTTTACTAAGTGCTTAAAGCACCTGTCATAGAGAAAGGACTAAATAGAAAGGACTAAATAAATGTTAGCCCCCCCATCTGCTTCTCCCAGGACACACCCTGGTCACTGCTCCTAAGTTGCTAGGCCGAGGAGGGTCTAGACTTAGTGGAGCACAATCTAAACCAACAAGGTTGCCCTGCTGTGGAAGCACCCCTGATGCCAAGCTATATCTGCACTGTATAAGTAATTCCTATTTGACACTGATCAGATCTTTACCAGAGATTTGTATTTAACAGGATCACAGCTTAAGAGGAGAAATGAGAGGAAGAATGGTAAAGTTAATAAATGGTTATAAGGTAGAACCTCTGAGGGAAGCTTAAAGAAATTGTCTTTCACTTGGAGAAAAGAAGATTGAAAGTGGATTTAACAACTCTTCAAGACCATGCATACTGGATAATAAGCAGGATAATGGCCCTAATCTCTATGGCCAGAAAAAGAGGAAAGGAGTTGAATTTGCATTTGAGACGAGGAAGAAAGAAAGATTGAATTTAAAGCAAAACTTCTCTAAAAAGTTATTATAAAACACCGGGATAGGTGACCATGGGAGCCTATGGGATTTTCTTTTTTGGACCTCTGAAAAACAGAGCCCTTATTTGTCTGGATTGGGAGAGGTACTGACGTGGCTGAGTAGTGTGCCCCAGAAATCTGAGCAGGAGAGAGGGAGGGGGTGGGGAAAATTGCAGGGATAGTTCTTGAACCCCGAGAAACATACATTAAAGCACTTTGGAAGCTTTCAAGGAGAAGAAGCAATGTTACAGTAAATCTGCGACTGGGAGACCCAGAATCTGAGTGCAAATATAAGAAGGAACATGCGGTGTGGTGAGGAAGTACAGGCGAAGAGAAATAAAGGAAACGAGCCATTTTGTTTCCAAGTGACAGACATCCGTCCACCCTGGTGGAGCCGTCCCAAATTCCCTTCTGTGGGCCTCAGTTTCCTTTTCTGTAATATGAAGTGCTTGGATTAAGCACTCACTTTTGAGTCCTTTCCAATTCTGAATTTGTGTTCATAAAATCGATCCAGAGAAAATGTGAGTACATCTGTGAAAATCTACCAGTGTCCAAAACCCAGGCTGTACTGGATGGCTGAGTGCTGCCCAGTGAGGGCCCGGGCTCTGGGGTCAGTTGGTGTGGCGGACGGGGTGAATCCCTCAGCCAGGAGCAAGTTGCTTTTCTTCCCTGAACTGCACAATCTTCAGGGATTTTTTGAAAATGAAAATTTCAAAATGGGGATGATAATAGCTCATTTGGAGTTGTAAGTTTAAATTAGATAATGCAAGTAGAATGCTTAGTATAATAATATCTAATAGCTTCCATATATCAGGCACATAAGCAGTACCTATTGTATTAATATTCTTGCAATGAGAATTTTTAAACCGTTTTATTTCTCACCCTTTTATTTCTATCTCTATTGAATCTGTAGGAAATACTACAAACACATTACATAATTTGTGGTGGTGGTGTTTGTTTTTAACACACTTGTCTTTTCTTGTTTTAACAGAATGAATCCTAATTCATTCAGCTTTCCTGAATGTCCTATTATAATACACACACAACCCATGTTTACATCTCTGACTGCCACCACGCATCCTCTGCCCTTGTTCGTTTGTGAAGTAGAAGTAAGAGAGTTATTTAGCAGCTCCTGTGTGCTGCGGCTTTGAATCATTTTTTGCATTCTCAGCAAGCCCCGGCCCCTGCGATCTGTGCCTGCCCGTCTTCAACGTGGTCAGCCGGGGTTCTCCCGTATTCTGTTGATGTCACCATTTAGCCTCTCTTCTCTACACCTTGGCCTATTCTTCGCAACTTCATCTTGCTCCTTTTAACAGTGTTTCCAACTCAACCCCCCCCCCCCGCCCCTTTACTTTTCATGAGGCTGAATGCCCCACTCCCAGCTTCAGACCGGACGGCCGTGGGATGTGCACCGGGTTGATAGAGAATTTCAGCTCCAGCAAGCGGAGAGGGCGCGCCTCCTGGGCCAGGGTGGGGAACCAGGTCATGAGCGGCCTCCTGCCTTTTGGGTTTACTACTTTCCCGCAAGGGACACCGTAGGCGGCTATGCGGTCCGGCCACTGCCCCCCGCCCCTCGCGTCCGGCCGCGCCGTGGGTTGCGGTCTCTGTGGGGGTGGCAGCTCCTGGCGGGGCCCCCCCGGAGCCGCGGGGAGCCCAGAGGCGAGGCCAAGGCGGGGTGGGGCGCGTCCGGGTGGGGAGGGCAGACTCAGGCAGTGCAGGGGGCGCCAAGGGCAGCGGGCGGGCGGACGCGCGGCGGAGGAGCGAGCGGGACGAGGGCTGGCTAGTGCCGCGGCCGCCCGCCCGAGGGGGAGGAGGCTGTGCTGCCCTTGCCGCAGGTTTGCTGTCGAGCGCACAGGAGGCAGGGACATGGGTAGGGTGCGGTCTGCGCGGGGCCCGAGCCCGGATCTCTTCCATTTCCCCTCTCACTCGGCCCCGGGCTGCGCCGCAGACGGCAGCAGCTCCCGCTCCGCCCCAGCCGCCTGACCGCCGGGCCGGGGTGCTAACCGCGGGGCCCGCCAGCCCGCCGTCCCGGACAGCCCAGCCCAGACC